TGCCAAAAAGCTGGCCTTTTGGGGTGGGGGTAGGGGTAACTCAGTGCTGGAGCATGTGACCAGCAAACACGACCTGGGTTCCATCCCCAGCACAGGGGCAAAAAGAGCTAGTCTTCAAGGAACACTTCCTGTCCAGCATCCCTTAGGGAGCACTCCCTATGGGCCAGCTCTGTCAACTGCCTCCCACGTACCTGCCTTAATCTTCAATTAACTGCCTTCCGCCAGCTCTCTAAACCTTGACTCTTGCCTCCTTTCTGGACCACCGCAGTATCAGCCATAGGTTTTGTATGTGTGACCAGCTGAATCCCAGGCCAGAAGCTTTATGGTTCACCCCTGGCACTGGAGTCCACACTCCCTGTGGGCAGAGATGGTGTCTATTTCAGCCACCGCCATATCTCTGGCACTTAGAGTGATGGATGCACGGTCTGAGCAGCCAATGAGGCATGTCTCGTCACCTCCATGTCATAGAATGTCAGAAATGAGGCTCTGCAGGTTTAAATAACCAGTGAGGGCTTTAGCACCGCTCAAAGTCAGAGTTAAGGCTGGAATCCATATTATTCCAAACTAAATGAGACAAGCAGGGAGAAAGAAGGTTGTGTACAGGCTGTCTCTCTGGGAGACAGGTCTGCATGTTCCGTGTTATGGCTGTGACCATCATTCCCAGAGTTTGTATTGCGGAATCTAGAGCTGAATACCACCTGCTTTTAGTGCCCCTTTCATGCAGGGTTGAGAAAGAAGTAGGGTGTGGTCCTGTTCCTAGGCCAACCTAGCAGCATGGTCAGGAAAACATAGTCATTGCCAGTGGCCTCTTTGGGCCTGGGAACTGTGCAGGATGCTGGGACTGTGGTGGGAATTAGATGCTGCTCCTTTCTGCCTGCAAGCTAAAGTCCCACAGGAGATGATAGGCATACAGTGCATCAATTGTTATGACTATTGTTTCATAGCACTTGGGGAAAGCATTATGAAGGTGGTCAGGCTGTCTTGGGTAGTACTCAAGGAAGGGTTTTTAGAACTCTCCCTGGATGATGTCACACATAAGCTGAAGTCTGAATGTCAAAGATGGCCATGGCAGAGGGAAGAGAAGAGTGGGCCGAGAAAGAACGAATAAGCTGAGGACAGGGTGGCTCATGTCTGCAACTTCAGCAATTTGTAGGCTGAGGCAGGAGAATTGTCAGCAGTTTGAACCTAGTCTGGGCTGTATAGTAAATTCCAAGTTAGCTTAGGCTATAGTGCAAGAACCTGTCTCAAAAAACAAAACAAAACAAAAAGGCTGGAGAGATGGCTCAGTGGTTAAGTGTCCTGGCTGCTCTTCCAGAGGACCGGTGTTTGATTTCTAGTACCTTCATGGTGGCTCACGACCCTCTGTAACTCCAGCCACAGGAAGTTTGATGCCCTCTTTTGGCCTCAACAGGCACAGCATGCACACTGTGCACAGACATACACGCAGGCAATAAATGCACATGCCTAAGATATAAATACTCCCCACCCCCCAAATTGCCAATTGCTGGTCAGGGTGGCCATATCTTTAATCTCAGCACTTGGGAGGTGGATCTCTGAGTTCAAGGCCAGCCTGGTCTACATAGTAAGACCCTGTAGCAAACAATGGACAACAATGATAAAAAAAAAAAAAATACAAAGAAGTACAAGCAAAGGTTCTGAGGTAGGAAGAAAAGTGACCAGAGAACAGGTCAAACTGAAATGGCTGTGCCAGGCTGTGCACGGCGGGTCCTCTGGAACAATGGAATGCCTCACTGGGCGTCTGAGGAAGCACCCCTGCCCGGGGCGATTTCAGCCAGTTAACTGCAGAGCTTTTCTCTGCAGACGTGGGCCTCCTGTCCCAGGGAGGCCTGCCCCATCTTAGACGGCCCTTCCACCCACTTATCTTCCTTCTCAGGGCACTGCCACTATCAATCTCCCCTGGGTGACTTTTTGCTGCATGCCTGTAAGTTTCCTAATATAGCCAGGCTGTTTCATTTCCAACTGGTGGCCAAGAGCCGCTCTCTGTTGCAGGCTCAGGTTTTCTTGGGCTTAAAGGGGCCCTGTCAGCCCATCTCAGGTCAAATTTTAGCTACAGGTAGGTTGCTGGATTCAATTTCACAAACTTCTCCAGCATGGAGATTAGGTGTCACCTCTGTCTCCGTTTCCCAGCTTCTCGGCCCTGTTCTTGCTCCTTTTCTTGTTTCCTATTTCCCCCATCCTCTTTGGAGAAATAGGACGAAGTATAGCTAGGCATGGAATTTTGGCTCTGGCGACATATGAGCTATGTCATCTTGTGTGTCTTTCATCCTTGCCAAACTTTAACTTTTCTTCAGGCTTTTCCCCCACCCCCCACATACAGATAAAGGGAAAGGAGAATAAAAGTTGTAGAATGGACACATTTTATTTAGTCATGCAAGGTATTTGCATTGCGTTCCTATTATTCATTCTTTTAAGCACCGAGGACTCCACAATGAACAAAATAGGCCAGAAATCCTTGCCCTTATAGAGCCTCCCACCAGTGAGAGCAATAAACAAGAGGAAAGGAAGAGCATCTCTTTTTATATATACTGTGAGGAAGACTGGAGCTATGAAGGAGGTAGAAACCTCACCTGGGAAGGAAGGTTATTGTTTTAAAGAGTGTGGTCAGGAGTGACGGCTTGAAGACAACAGGAGAGTAAACCACATAGGTAGCCTAGGGAAGAACATTCTGCCTGTCTGTTGGGACAGAACCCGTCTGAGCTGCTGACCAGTTGCTGGCAGAGGATGAGAACTGTAGCTCCAATCACTGCCCATTCAAGGGAGGATGCTGAGGAGGGGTCATAGTCTAGATCTCTTGCATCCTTTCTGGTGAATATTTGCAAAACACAGCTGGGTGTTGTTGTCTGTCTTCCTGAACTTTTCTTAAATTTTATTTATTTATTTATTTAAACTTTGGTAATGGAGCCTTTAAGAGGTGGGGCTTAGTAGGAGGTATTTAGGTCTCAGGGAAACTTGCAGTAGGTTTTGGAGGTTCTGGTCTGGGGATGCTCTTGTCCATGATCTGTTGGCCCTTGTGTTTTTAGTTCTGTATTGTGATATGCTCATCAAGGTGTGAGAGCAATGCTTTCCACTTCCAGAGGTGAGAGGAAGGGACCCCCACGACCTCTCACGAGGCCCCGCCTCTTAAAGGCTCAGCCACCTGCTGGGGACTAAGCCTTTAATCAAACAGACATGTGAAGGACCCTTAAGATGCATCAAAGTCTCTGATTGGCCACTTTGGGGCGGTGATGTTGATGGCACAGTACTGGTACACATGACTGCTCCAGGGGTGGAGGCAGAAGATTGGCTTTCAGTGAGACTGTGGAAAAGACCAAGAAGGTTGTGTGTGTGTGAGAGAGAGACAGCTAGAGAACATCTGCCTGACTGGAGGCCAGAACTATATTTTGGAGGTCAGCAGGACATACACAGTGGTAACAAAGCACTCGATGGCGTCATCACCACGGATCCAGTGTTGCTCCATGGTAGGATGGGAGTGAAACACAAAGTCTTCTTGACAGTTTTCTGGCTAATTCTTCATGGAGCTCAGGTGACCTCAATGCTAGAGCCACAGCATCGAGCGCGTACCTTTTCCTTCAGTTTTCCAGCTACAGACTCATTTAAGCCTTAACACTGTGACGTGAAGAGGTGCTTGCTCTTTCTGACACATGAGAAAGCTGAGACACAGGTCATGTTAGTTGCCTAAGGTCACACAGCAAGGGTGGAGGCAGTCCCTGGAGTCTATATGCCTTTCTATGAGTGGCCTGCTGGCATGCATTCATTCCCATGAGCCAGAGTGCTTGTGTCCACATGGGCCCTTGGCTGCTGGCAGCGCCTGTCCATATCACCAGTCTGGGGACTAGATCTTCCGTAGTTTCCATCTGATGGATGCCCACAAGCTCATACTCACTGTTTCAAGGGCCCTAGCCTTGGTGACCTTGCACATTCATAATGTCACTTCTGTGGGACCACAAACAGTTGGCTTCCTGTGTGCACATAGCCCCTCACACCTGTGATCTCATGTAGCCAAAGACACATATAAGGCTCTTGCATACACACACACACACACACACACACACACACACACACACACACACACTGCTCTGCAGACTTGCTGTCTATCCGTTCACGAATCAGTCACCTTGCACAATGGGACAGCCGTGCATTCCTTCTGTGTACTAAGGGGATCTTGCCCCTCCACACCCCTTCCCCTCTTTGGCCTTCTGATGACCTTGGATGATCCGGCATTTCCGAGCAGCTCTGACCCAGGACTGACCCATGGCACTTTCCCCCAAAGCTCTCGAACACTGCACACACTCCCTTGCACCAGCCCTGCACACCCAGCACAATGCTGCACTGAGCTCCTGTCTCTATTCCTTCTCCGTCTCATGTAATCCAAAATCAAGTAGAGTTCACAGCCTGACCTGCTCAGGTAACTACAATGCAACACATGGATTCACACACTTCTCACTCTGTCGCACACCTGTGACCTTAGCATGTTCCCACCATGGAAGTGTTTACACCATCCCCAAATTCCTTCTGGCACGTTCCCTCCTATACCGGCATCCTCCTTTAACTTCACCCATGCCTTGGCCTCGACTAACCACACAGCTTCCCACTGATTCTTCTGACTCACACCATTCACTGGAGATCGGAGGCTCCCACCAGCGGTGATAAGCCCCCTCCCCTTCCGGCTTGCCCTCTCCTATGTGCCCTGGCACACTTGTGTTTTCAGGCGAACACAGCAGAATGCATTCTGTCCCTCTGACGGCCCAGCTCAGTCTTGGCGCCGTCCTGCCTTGCCCACACCTAGGTCATCGCGCTCTGCTGGCTCGGCCTGTCACCTACTGAGGCCACTCTCCAGGTTGGCACAACAGCACACACTCATTGTCCCTCCGATGGCCTCTCCCCTCTCTGGGCTCTGCCCCACCTTGTCCACGTCTTGGGGGGGGGGTCACCAAGTCCCTTCCACTTGACTGACACAGCTCTCTTCGCCCACCCCGCAGGGACCTACCAAGGCCAGTTCACCAACGGCATGCGGCATGGCTACGGCGTGCGCCAAAGCGTGCCCTACGGGATGGCAGTGGTGGTGCGCTCCCCGCTGCGCACGTCGCTGTCCTCCCTGCGCAGCGAGCACAGCAATGGCACGGTGGCCCCGGACTCGCCCGCGGCCGACGGACCCACGCTGCCCTTGCCCCCGGTGCCACGCGGTGGCTTCGCGCTCAGCCTGCTGGCCACCGCCGAGGCTGCGCGTCCGGCCGGGCTGTTCACGCGTGGCGCCCTTCTGGGTCGGCTGCGGCGCTCAGAGTCACGCACGTCGCTGGGCAGCCAGCGCAGCCGCCTGAGCTTCCTTAAGAGCGAGCTGAGCTCAGGCGCCAGCGATGCCGCCTCCACCGGCAGCCTGGCTGAGGGCGCTGAGGGCCCCGAAGACGCGGCCGCGCCCTTCGACGCCGACATCGACGCCACCACTACCGAGACCTACATGGGCGAGTGGAAGAACGACAGGCGCTCGGGTTTCGGCGTGAGCGAGCGCTCCAGCGGCCTGCGCTACGAGGGCGAGTGGCTGGACAACCTGCGCCATGGCTACGGCCGCACCACGCTGCCCGATGGCCACCGGGAGGAGGGCAAGTACCGCCACAACGTGCTGGTCAAGGGCACCAAGCGCCGCGTGCTGCAGCTCAAGAGCAACAAGGTCCGCCAGAAGGTAGAGCACGGTGTCGAGGGCGCGCAGCGCGCAGCAGCCATTGCGCGCCAGAAGGCTGAGATCGCCGCCTCCAGGTAGGTGCCCAGTGGGGACCCACAGCCTGGGATGCCCGGGGCCAAGCCTGGACCTGCGTTTCTCTGCTGTATGAGTCACCCGGGCCTCTAATTATCTCCACACTTGACCATCATACCTCAGCCATCCACTCAGCGGCTGCCAATCCCAACCCTTGGCGCATCTTGTTCTCACATAACCCATCTAATAGCCATGTCTGTCTGCTCAGCAGTCACCCACTCACCCAACCCACCATGCAATCTCTTGTCTGCTTCACCATGCGGTCTCCCACCTACACCACCATCCATCCACCCACCCACCCACCAAGCCCAGCATCCCTCCAGTTCCTTCACAACTCTTATGCTCGAGCAAGTCCTGCACTCACCTAACCCTTTTACCCATCCAACCACATCCGCCACTCAGTGTCCTTAATATCCACCTGAGCAAACTATGGGCCCACACAACCACGCGCACCCTGATCCGCACGGCCAACTTCCCATCCCTTTCACTCCCCTAGCTGTCTAATCATCTGCACAGCTGCAAATCCAACTACTCACACATCTATTCGACAACATCTCTCCTCCATCGACCATCTTTATTCACGCAACCACTTCACCCATTATTTAAAAAAAAATCAGTAACGAGTCTACCCACTCATCCAGCACGTTACTGTCAGCTACTTCCACTTAAATATTCAGCCTCCTACCCACACTTTACTCATAGACATATCCACTCCCACCCACCCAATGGCCTCCCCACCACCTAGCCGTCTAGCCGCCTCCACAGCCATCCAACAATTGCCTACACTTCCCTCCCAGCACTGTCCACCTACCAGCCTCCCCCCACGCATCCCCTTGGCCTCCTGCCTGCTCCTCACCCACCTCATCACCTACATTTCGTCTCCCTGTGTCTTCTCGTTGTGGAGCAGATGGAGTTCTGCAGTTGTCTTCCAGTGTGTGTTAAACGACATCCCTTTAGCAGCCTGACAGGCATCTTGTGCTGTTTCAGACGAGCTAAATGAGGCTCAGCGCAATAAAGAGCTTTGCCTAGCACCAGCCCAGAAGGTTTGAGTTTCCTCCTATGGTGCCACCATTTCTTAGCTGTCCATCTCTGGACAGCTGTGTTTTCTTCTCGAAGCTTGGTAGCCTCATCTGGACAAACAGGGCTGTTCTGAAGCTCGAGAAAGCCTGTGAAGTGCCCTTGGTGAGTCCTCTGGAGGCAGACTCTTCGATGGAGAGCCAAGTGGCGGGCTGGGTGTGTGTGTGTGTGTGGAGAGCACTCTTAGGATCGACACTCTGGAGAAGGGGAAGAAGCAGGAAGGGGCTGGCAGAGAGGGTGGGCAGCAGTGAGGTCTCCACGAAGGCCCCCATCAACCATGTGGGGTGCTCTGCAGAGTGATGACTGTCAAAGACATCCCAGCTTGGGATGAAGGAGTTGGACCAGGCCCTCTACATGGAATACAGACTCCTCTCCACAAAGGAACATGGCCTCTGGGGCTGGACAGCTCTTTTCAGTCCAGGTCACTTCTAGGGAGTGCCCGTATTCCTTACTCTTTGTGTCATGACGATGCCATTATCTGACAGAAACAGAGAAGACTGTCTTTGGTTTTTTGTTTTTTTCCACCTAGTTTTGAGGCTTTCTGTCTGTTGTGAAAGGGAAGGGCATGGCAGAGCGACTCGGTTCATGGTGGCCAGAGGGTGTGGTCGAGGCTTCTCCAGCATGGACCCGGAAGCAGAGAGTCAGAGAGGAAGTGGGTTAAGAGTAACCTGCACCTAGTGACCTCTTACCAGCTGAGCCTCACCTCTAGCACTTTCCAAAATGCTGCCACCAGCTGGAGGATAGGGTACTCACTGATCTTGTAGAGGACCTGGCTTTGGTTTCCATCACTCGAAACTGCCTTTAGCCTCAGTTCCAGGGGCTGGGACACCCTCTTCTGACCTCTGCCGGGCCATGTGTGAATGCTTTGTACACATGTACTCAGATGTATGCACATAAATAATAAATAAGTCTTCAAAGCATGAGCCTGTAGGGACATTCCCATTTCAAAACACAATGGTGCCTAACATCATGAAAAAAGCAAGCAGGCGAAGTCTTAAGCTCAAACCTTCTGATTCCAATGCTTTAACCTGCACAGCTGTAAACTTCAAATTGTTGTGAATGTCTAACTTGCTGTAAAGTAGGAATGAAATTAAGGGCGGTTTACTTGGGACTTCTCAGTTAAAGGCTTCGAAGGTTAGAATGTTCCTCCAGTCTGAACTCGTCGGGGGAAATGCAATCGGTGTATTAACAAACTCATGTAGTGGGAGTTTTGACAGGGGACTGGGGTCATGAAGGCTCTGTTCTCGTGGGTGGGACTAATGCCATTCCTTAGAAAAAGGTGAGTTTGCAGTGTGTGTTTCTGTGTGTCACATGTGTACAGACTGCATGCTTGTGGAGGCCAGAGGTCAATCTTGGGGTGTCATTTCTCAGGAGCTACCCAGCCACCTTGTCTTCTAAAACAGGGTTTCTCACTAGGCCCCAGAACTCGATGGCTGCCCAGAGAGCACGAGGGATCCTCCTGATTTTGCCTCCCCAGGCATGTGCCATCGTGCTCGGATTTTTACATGGGTTCTGGAGTTCAAACTCAGACCCTCACGCTTGTGTGACAAGTGTTTTACTAACTGAGCAAATGCTCAATCCCTCATTTGCCTCTGCTAAGTTACCGTTTGTCTCCTTCAAAGGCCAGAGTGTGGAAGTTGCCATTATGAAAGAGAACAGCCTGACCTGAGGCTGAACTTGCTCAGACTTGTCAGTCTTCAGAGCTGTGAGCCAATAACCCCCTGTAGTTATAAACTGTGCGGTCTGAGGTATTGTGTCATAGCAGCACCACAAATGGACTGGGTAGACCAGGCCCATGAGCAGGTGACCACGCAATGCATTGTCCAGCCCTGAGTACTTCTATGAAGTAAAGAGAGAACTATTGGAAAACCAAAACTTCTATGCTGGAATAGTTTTAAGTTTATGGGAAAGTTGTGAGGAGCGGGCTGAAGAGGTGCCTCAGTGGTTGAAAGCGAATACTGTTCTAGCCAAGGCCCAGAGTTCAGTTCCCAACACCCACGTCTACTTCACAGCACTCAGGTCAGGCAGTTCATAACCTCCTGTAACTCCAGCCCGAGGGAATCACGTGTCCTCTCATGGACTTGGCAGACATGAGCATACCCCCCCATACACATGCACACAATTAGAAATAAAATAAATCTTTAAAAATGAAAGCTTCGAGGGGATGTCAAAAGTTTGAATATCCTTCCACCAAATCTCTAATGTTGACTTCTTAGGTCGCCATAATACATTTAGCGAAGCAGAGATCTGCCTGCCTTTCCTTTGAGAGCGCTGGGATTAAAGGCGTGTGCCATCACTGCCCACATCAATTAATTACTTTTTGAGACAGGGTTTTGTCTAGCTCAGGCGCACCTAGACACACTGAGTAGCTAAGGCTGGCCTCGAGTTCCTGATCCTCCTGCTTCTACTTCCTGAGTGCTGGGATTAGCAGCATTTGTCACCATGTCCAGCTGTTATAATTTTATAATAAAATTATTATACAGGTCATAATGCTTAGTAATCGCACCGATTTCATATGGTTACTGACAGGTGGGAGCCAGGGTTGTCTTGGGTCACCTGGGGACATCACACGGAGAAGCAAGTAAGAGTTTGTATCCTGGGTTCAGAAGACTATGAGATGGTACACTGTCTCTTGTAGCAGCTGCGTGACCCTGCCCAAATTGCTCCTCCGCTCTTACTGTGGGATCCTCTTGCCTTACAGAGCAGAGAGGAGGTTAGGAGGAGATGAGCCAATGGCTGACGTTGAGCCGCCAGCAGGGAAGTCAGTCAGTCAGTTCAGTTTTAGAGACAACGACAAGACAATCGGTACTAGTTGAGGAGAGCTTTCCTTAAACTCTCCCTAATGGGACCCAGGGATACTTCCATCTGCTCTCTTACTTTCCCTGCTCTTGTCCTTGCAAGCACTTGCCCATTTTGAATGTGTGACACTATCACTGAGAAGTGACCCTGCAGCTGGCCTGGGTGCCTGGAATGAGAATATGGTACCCAGCATCTCCTATGCATAGTGTGTATGCTGTGTGCGGGGTGGGAGGGGAGGAGGGAGCTCTGGAGGCTTCCTGAATATGCAGCCTGAGACCCTGAGTGGGCGTGGCTAGGGCTCCAATTCAAGCCCAACAGAATTTCCAATTAAGGGAGTCTTTGGATTGGGAGGAAGCACAGGATTGCAGCATCTTCTTTGAAAGCTTTCCCCTCCCTGGGGCTTTGGTGAGTAAGCTGGAAGCAGAGGGGCAGGAAGCAGCCCCAGCTGCCAAGCAGCCTCTCAGGGCTCAGGAGGGCGGGGCTTCTGTCCCCCATAGCCTCTAGCTCTTGCTCTGGGCTTGGTTATACCTATCAAACAGCTCAGGGTTCACAATCAAGGCATCTCTCCAAGCCAAGGAAGGGTACCGACACACCGCAGGCCTTTAAGATGGACACCGGACAGAAAAACACCTGGACCCTCATTCTGTGTTCTAGCCTCTTGTCACGTGTGGCTCTGGGACCCATGAGATACATTCAGTCCCAAGTGACATGTGGGGAATGTGCACTGGATTTCGGAGTCTTACTAAAAAAAGAAGGCAAAGTAAGTTGTTAATTTTTTTTTTTTTTTGAAAAAAGAAATATAAATTATAAGGAGCTAGGAAGATGGTGGAGTTGATAAAATGCTTGCTGGGCAAGCATGAGGAGTTGAGTTTGATCTCCAGCACCCACATAAAAAACACACACACGCTTTGTGGTTGCATGAACTTGTAATCCCAGCACTGGGGAGATAGAGAAAGACAGATTCCCGGGGGCTCTCTGGCCAGCCAGTGTAGACTAATCAACAAGGCCAAGGTTCCAGTGAGAGAGCCTGTCTCAAAAACACACGTGTTGGACAGCTCCTGAGGACCCACCCCTGAGACTGACTGTGGCACCCGAAGGCACACATGTACATGGTGTACATACTTTC